GCTTTTTTTAAAATGTGGGTCATTGGTTTTTTGATCATCTTTAAGTCATTGAATAATAATCTCTCTATTTTATTAAACTCTTGCAATTAATAAACAATAATTTTTAATTTGTGTGGATTATGACAGCTGTCTTTCCTTTTTGCCTATTTGTCAACTTTTATCATCTTGGATTATATATTTTATTTAACTGAAAATCCCTTGATAGGATTTTTTTGCTATCTTAGCCATGGTACACTAAGCATACCACAAATAGACAAGATATACCTTAAAATGAGATGTCAGAACACAGCTCAGTTCTCTAGAGATGGTCTGACTGGGAAAAGCAGAGTTACTCTTACCTAAGTTTCCTGTTTGGTACTTCCCTCCCGTCCCTCTAAGACACGGCCTTATTCTGAACTCATTTTATTTTCCTTGGTCTGGATATGCATGCTTGGTAAATTTCTTGAACGGAAACACATGTTTCCTCATGTTGTGCTTTTTTGTTGACAGGTACAGCTTAATATATCCGTATACATTTATAGGAAGATTTCTTTTGTTCCTAGAGATTGGCCTTGTGGAATCTAAGATAAGGCTTAGCATGCTTTCTTCTGATGAGTGATACTCTATTAGCTTCTTTTTGTCTTGCTTTGTGATCTAACAGACCGGCTGGTTCCTTTGGCTTTATGCCATATTCACCCTTCACGACACTGATTTCTGGCTGGTAAAAAGGAAGGGCAGCTAAAAACAAGTTTAGGACAGAGCTCTAAGGTGAGAAGTTTGGGACATAGGAAAGGAGGTTTACAGAAAATGCTCAATAAAAAGAATCTGAAATCTCAGAAAATCCCCACAGTCACAAGTCATCACTATTTCCTTTGGAAGTGGTGTATGGTTATGCCCGAAATCCAAATCAATGTCATTAAATAGCATATATGTAGAGTTGTCCAGTATAGGGGGCGACCATAGAGTAACTACTGTAACACTGTAATTGTTTCCTTAGAAGAGAGACAAAGCAGTGTCCCTGAATTCACTTTTTGAAAAATGGAGGTATGGGAGTAGGTGGGTGATAGAGTAAGAGAGGCATTACTGTTTTCTTTTCCATAGGCAAGAAAAGTTCGTATTGGAGGGATGTTTGGCTGCTAGCTGTGAAATATACAATCTCCTCACTAAAAGCTGTTAGTAAAGCTGGTGGCCCTATATTGATTATACTATTGTGTTTCTTGAACATTTTCCCCATTGATGAGATGTAAAACATAAAACTGGATCTGACTGCACATACTGTTCTCACAACAAAAGTATTATTATTCAAAGCATAAGGGCTGGAATCCAGACAATGGAAAAACAACGTGAGAGCCCTCTGTAGTTCTGTGAATTTTGGTGGCAGTTTAGCTCTAGGGAAAGAGTCAACTGCACTGAATCTTTGTGCTCAGATTGCTGCTGATCTGCAAAAGAGTCTTATGGTTCATGATTCCCAGGAAGTCAAAGAGACAGAATACAACACCTAATGGCCTCTGCCAGATCAATTCTGTGTGACATGCTCCTGATGAGGAAACAGTCTAGGTCTATTTCTTTGTATGTTGGACATAAAATGACAAATGTGGGAATACAGTAACTTATTACAAAGTTGGAAAACATTTCAACCTTAAAGTAATTATTGGATTGTGAGAAATTATTAATTTTTAAAATATATGACATTAATTTTTAATTGTTTCCATTAAACTTTATTTAAAATTAGTTAATGGTAGTTTTCATCATGCCAGGTAATATAGCTAGTGAATATATATATATAACAAGATGAGTACAATTCTTAGACTTTGATAAAAGTGTACCCACTATTAATTAACTTTTATAGCATCTTAAATTTAATGAGCTCTCTAGCCATTGATACATTACAAAATGAACTGTGAGTACTCTGTGATATTTAAGACAACATTCTTGTGCAAGGTGAGGGGACCAGGAAAAGCAGGATTCCTTACTGAATTAATGATGTGTGTTCTTTTTACAGTGCAGATTAAGGACAGCTCCTATCTTCTGAAACGTTTCTCATTTTCCATGATTTCAAAAGTTAGCATTAGAATTTACACAGGATTGCTATGCAAAATTTCCCACTGGAATTGAGGGACTATTACTTCATCATTATCTCTCATGTATATAGGTAGGAAGAATGTTGGTCCAGGAGCCAGTCCAGTTCTATATAAACAGTGATGCTGCCTTGTGACTTGGAGCATGGCACTGAATTCCATGGGTTCATTATCTATAGGATGAAAAACTGGAGCAAATGGCTTTTTGAGGCTCCTTTCAAAACCCTATTTTAGTTTTCCCTGAACTGTATTTAGTCTATCTTTACACTTCTTTCTTTCTCTGTTTGGTCTATCTGTTCTATTTGACAATTATTTTTCAAGACGGTATAAAATGAAGCAAAAGAGGGGACGGAGAGATGGCTCAGCAGTTAGAGCACTGGCTGTTCTTGCAGAGGACCACAGACAGTTTGATTCCTAGCACCTGCAAGGAAGCTCAAAGCCTTCTGTAACTCCAGTTTCAGGGTCTCCAGTGCCTTTCTCTGGCCTTTGGGAGAGCCAGGCATCTGTGGGGTATACAGATGTCCACGCAGCTAACACTCTCTTCCACATAATTTTTTAAAAAAAGAGGAAGCAAAAGAGTCGGCCTTTCCATTCCCATCATGTGTTACTCCATGCCATGTTTCCTGGTATGTAGGTCAAACGGTACCTGGTTTTTTTAGCGCTGCTCTGAGTTCACCTTTGGAGACACAATGGGATGGCTTTTTAGGGGGAGTTTGGATGCTTTTCTGCTAGGCTTTGGCTTGTGGGTTTATGGAATAAGGAGCAGCGAGGACTTGAGCCTGTCCTGCTATGCTCATTGCAGGAAGCTGACAACTCTAGTCAATTCTCTAAAACTTACTTTCCTTATTAATTAAGCATTGAGTGAAAATATTTACATAATTTTAGAGATAACATGAAAAATAGCATGAAAGGTCCGTAGTATAATAAATCCTTGACACAGCGAGTTAGTGGAGGAATGCTGTTTAGTTTTCTTTTTTCTTTTGACAGGGTTTCAATAATTCTGGCCTCAAACTAACAGTGATTCTCCTGCCTCAGTCTCCTGAGCACTGGGGTTACAGGCATGTGCCTTTGTGCTAGGCTTGGCTTTCATATTTACAGTTTTGTAGTCATCCCTATACCCTGGGCTGTCTTTTTTTTTTTTAAATGAAGTTATACTGGTTTATTATCACTTCCTTCTGTTGAAAAGCACACACACAGATGGTATCTTAGATGTGTGTATAAGTCACAGTTCACTGAACTTCTGCCTGCTTGGTAAGGCGCTCTGAGGTAAGGATTCACATCTTTACCATACACGTGAGTCTTAGAACATCTTGTCCAAAGCACTAACAGCCAAATCGTGTTTCTAGGCCTGCTTCCCTGATCCTGTGGTGCCCAGCACAGGGGCTGACATCACTGGTTACATAGCAACAGTAGCAAATGGGTTTTGATGAGGGCTGACATCAAGGAACATCAGCACTGGAAAGACAAAAAGTATCTATAGAGAAAACTTAGATTGACTTGAAAGAACACTGGCATTTATTATAGGTTACACATTTCTATAGTATGTATAATGACGTAGTATGGCCTCTTATCCCTAGACATTGACTAGGAAGTGGAAGCTTTCCCTCAACATTCATCCTCAATTTGCAATAGACTAAGCACAACATTTATGAACATGCAGTGTCCACATGCAACTCCAGAAGGGACTCTGAGGTGGTGTCTGGGAGTTCCTGGGCAGTGACATCCACCGAGACCCCAGATCGTCTCACACAGAAAGTCACACTCTGATTACCCTCTCACACTTCCCTCCTTAATTGTCTCCTTGAGTACTAGGAAAATAGTTGCTCTTGGCCTCTAGAGCACTTTGCTGGAGAAAGTTCCTGACAATTTGAAGAAAAACAAAAAAAGAATATGGTAGATTATTCATACTCTAATTTTATCCTTTAATTAAAAAACTTAGTTATTTCCCTGTTTTGTTTATTTTAAAGTGTAATTTTCTGAGATGAGAGCGGTATCAGGTAAGAAGAGGTTTTCTTTAATTTGTTAACCAGATGAAGTAAATGGTTACTGCCACGGAACCTCAAAACCCTTCCTTCAGAGACTTCCATGTTATGGGTAGCTAAGGCCAGGAGTCCAGGTGTCGTTTGAAGTCCTTGGCCGGGTCGCTCTGGGCCACTCCCAGTCAGCTATGCTCTGAACACAGTGAAGGGAACATGATTCAGTTGAGCTCCTCCTGAAAAACGTTACTGTGAGACTGCGGAATGTGACTGCTTTGATTGACGCACTGGCTTTCTCTCCCTTAAAAATAAGCCGACTTGGCAGTATTCAAAGGAGACATAAAATTAGTTATTATTGGCTGACTCAGCAATAAAGCCAGGAAGTGGAATCTACTCAGTGGAAACATTCTAATCGCGGGGCTGAGAGATGATGAGCATAACACAAGCCTTAGCTCGCAGAGGAAGTGTCCCGTGCCTGCAGCTGATAAATCGCTTTGGAGGCTGGATAAAATACTGGTCCCAGTGGACTGAGGGCTCTGCTTGCATTTTCGGGGAGCTGCAGTGTGGTGTGCAGATAGCATTCAAGTGGGACTCATGAGAGCAACCTAACGTGGGATTTTCCAACTGCTGAGGCCTCAGCCATGGAAGAATAATCCTATGACAACTCACCCTATAGCCACTTTTATGATGCTTTTATTTCAGTCTCACAAACAAAAATCAAGTGAGGTAAAATTATCTGAAAGGGTTTTTTTTTTTTTTTTTTTCCCGGTTCATGTTCTTTATTTCCTCATCACGTGGCAGCTAATGGCAGCCTAAGCTCCTGAGCATGTTAACTTTATCCGGAGTGCTGCCTGATGAGGAACTGTGTTCTTTGTGTTAGTGCTTTGATGATTAAGTAACGTAGATTCTGGAACTGATTCGAGGGGGAATCTGCTCTAATCTTTCTGCTGTTTTTTCACTTTTGGAAGTGGGAGCCTCCAGCCGTTTTCCCCCTAGTCACTGGAAGTGAGAAAGAAGAGATGGAGGGAGGCTTCAGGTGTGCTCAACAGAAGACTCTGGACAACTTCTTCATTCTTAGGGTGCGTGTGTATCCTACCCATCACCTAGTCATAAAGCCAGGCAGTCATCAAGGCTTCAGACAACAGGCCCATTAGGCATGTCTATGATTAAAGTTGATTAGATAGAAGTCATTGGGAATTTGGAATCCAAGATCAGTAGTGATTCAGATTCAATTTGCATAAACTACGAGGCACTTCATTAAGGCTAATCATTTCCCTCTGTCCTTTGGTAATAAATCATCCTTCTATAGGGCTCATTAAGACTTGAGTGGGAGGATTTCGCTTTCACAATTCCTCAGCTCCGTTAAGATCCTTCCCATTGTGCCCACTGCTCTCATTTGCTAGGCTTGTACTTGTTGGGCACTCCACCTCAGGGCTCTATCTCTGAAAGGGTTTCCTAGAAATTGAAACTGATTCATCAGGGTTCATATGCCAATGACCAGCACTTGTAAAATACTGAAGCCTGTGTCCCTTAAAACTCCAGTGGAACAAACTGTACCTGTTTAGACTGCCAAGATCTTAGGGCCCAGTGGTTTTCAGTCAGCTGATGAGTAATTTCATAGGTCTATCTTGAGAATGTATCTGCTTAAATCCAGGAAACGTGCTCTGGTGTAGGATTCAGGAGCACTCCTTTGGAACATTCTTTCTTTGCAATTGTGTTAACATTAATTATTGACTTGATGGATGCTAGAATCACAGGGGAGAGAGGTCTCTGCACTGCCTGTTGGGGATTATCATGATTGTGTTATTGAAGTAGAAAGACTGGACCAGTATGGTGGGAAAAAGTCCCTAGGATCCTGGACTATAAGAAGGAGAAAGTGGCTGGGCATAAGCATTCATAGCTGCTTCTCCACCATGATAGACTTTACTTTGAACTGAGAGCAAAAAGCAATCTTTTCTTCCTTAAGCGGCCTTTGTTGGGTGTTTTATGACAACAGGAAAAGTAACTAAGACAGCAGTCATTTTCAAGAATAATGAGATGATGCTTTATGTCCTGTCTCTATGCTCAGAACATATTGCCCATTATCCTCATGGTTTTCTGTGTTTGTGACAGGTGAGACATTGGTCACTCTGCCCTGCAATTTACAGCCATTTATCTCTTTCACACCCTCAAAAATGGGATTCCAAGCCTAGCATCTAGCATTTAGTAGATAGATAAATAGACAGATAGATAGATAGATATATATATAGATAGATAGATAGATAACAATGATGATTAAAGGAAGGTATTTTCTGACAGACTATATATATATACATATATATATATATTCAACAAAAAGAAACTAGCTATGAAAATATTAGAGATGCTTCAAACACAAGGAATAATTAATGAAAGTGTGAAACAGACAGTTGAATATATAATCTTCAAGGGAAAGGCGAGAACTGGATGTGATTTTTGTGAGGCTTGCTTGTGTATGATATTTGAAGGCATCATCCTGATTAGATTACTGCTGCAGAGAATGACAGAGGGAAAGATTGGGCCATTAGGTAGAATACAGTGAATTTCCATGATCAAGCAGACAAGAAAAACAAGAGACCAGCAGAAGTACGTAAGGAGAGCTAATGAAGTAAGAGAAAACCCTGATTTTAATTTTCCTCACTGGAAAACATGTTACCAAAAGAATGAAATAGTCCGACATGAATAGAATTTTATCAGTTGAAGAGAGGTGGGAAGGGGGAGGCAAAGAGGGGAAGGAGAGAGAAAGAGGAGAACTTTAACATAATGTCTCAGGTCTCAAGCTGATTAAGTAAAGTTCACACACATTATTTAAAAAAAAAATACTTTGCTTTACTCAAAGCCACATAAATTAAATGCTAATTCTGTCTTTAAAAGCACCACCACAGAAGTTTCTAGAAGAATATTTGTTCAACTATTTGGTTGTTTCAGCCTAGCCAAGTTTGTATATAAACACAGCCATAACAAATTCAACCTTGTTAACTGCCCTTTGTGTACATGCTCTTAAAACATACCTGCTCACTATGGTACTGAAATGATAGGATGGGAGGTTCACAAGTTCAGACCCAGCTTAAACTATGCTTAGACCATACTCATTTTCCAAGTAAAGACCATAAGTTCACACAGGTCAGCTTAACATGGTGAACTATACTGCCTAATCTCTCCAGAGAAGCAAACGCAAAGCCCCTCCTTGGTCAGTTGCTCTCAATTTGTGGGTCGAGACCCCTCGGTGTGTGTGTGTGTGTGTGTGTGTGTGTGTGTGTGTGTGTGTGTGTGTGTGTTACCTATCAGATATTTACATTACAATTTGTAACAGTAGCAAAATTACAGTTATGAAGTAGCAAAGAAACAATTGTGTGGTTGGGGTCACCACAAGATGAGGAACTGTATTAAAGGGTCACAGCAGCACTGAGAAGGTTGAGAACCTGCTCTAGGTCATATGTTCATCCTGCAGCAGACTCCAGTTCTCAGCACAGTCAGTGTGTCCTTGCTGAAAAGAACTATAATGAACACACAACCTCCCGTGGAATGTCAATCTCAAGGCTATTTTAAGGGCTCCTTTAGTTACTTGTTCTTGGGAGCAGCAGGTTTGCACATAAAACTATTTCTCTTCAGCCAGTGAATCTTCAAATTCAGCTCTTATTTCTGACTCTGGTACATATTCTATATAACAGGGGGAAAAAAGCCTCATGAATTAGGTTCACAATTCCTCTTCTTTTTTTCTCTCTATATTGCACTTCAGAGTTTGGGGGAATGGATCAAAGTTAGGTTATAAAAATGTGGCTAATTATTTTGAGAGAAGTCTTTATCCAATGTGCTGTCTGCACTGGGGTGAAGACTGTCTCCACAAGATGTATGTCCATCCAGAACCTTAGACTGAGGCTTTAAAAAATGATTAATTATCATAGCAGCATCATTCAGTATTGGAATAGGCCTTAAATCTAATGACTAGGAACCTATGCAAAAGTCATGTAAGACAGAAGGCCAATGAATGGTGGGGCGGAAATGAATGCTGTGCCTGCAAGCCAAGAACTTTCAGCAACTTCCAGAGGTTAGAAGTAGCAAAGCATTCTTCCTAGAACCTTGGGCAAGAACATGCCTACCAAAACGTTTTTCTAGACATCTTGCCTCCAGAGCTATAAAGAATAAACTTATTTTGGGTTAAATGACCTAGGTTTTTAGTAATTTGTTATACTATTCCTAGAAAATTAATAGCTTTTACAAACTTCATAAAATTCGCAATTGGAATGGACAATCTCATGATTTTCTAAATTATTTATTACTTTAATTTATAACACTAACATGAATGCAATAAAAAATCAAAGTATAGAAATATAAAGCTAAGAATAAAAGCCTTTATTTGTACCACAGTTTCATTTCTCACCAGCCTTTTTGATTTTGATTTTTTACTAATTTATTTTTTGTTTGTGTGTTGTATAAAGGTGAGAAGTGTTTCTCCTTTTCCACTATGTAGATTCAGGAGATTGAACTCAGTTCTAAGACTTGGTGGCAAGTATCCTAAGACTATCTATCTATTTATATCTATCTATCTATCTATCTATCTATCTATCTATCTATCTATCTATCTATCTATCTATCTATCTATCTTCCACCATTTAGCTCTCTTCACCGATTCTCTATAATCAATCATATCACTTGATTTTTAAGCTCCATGTATAATTTTCACGTGTATATACAATGTATTATATTTTCCTTTGTACATTTCTCTTTGCATTTCAGTTTTGGAAGTTTCTATCGATCCAACTTTAACCCGATTCTTTGCTGCTGCATGCAGTCTCTGGTGCGTCAAAGCTATTGTTTCGATCACAGTATCTTTGTTTCTGATGTTTCATTTTATTCTCTTCATAAAACCCACTTTTCTGGTGGCAGAACCCTTCAGGTTTTGCCGTTATTTATTTTATTACAGCTCTAATTTGTTATTTAAAATCCTAAGCCAGATAAAACAATCATCTGTGTCATGTTTGAGTCTGATTCTGATGCTTGTTTTGTATCTTTAGTGTACAGTTTTTCTTGCCTTGTAGAATATCTTGCAGTTTTTCTGCCATTGAAGGCTGGACATGGTAATTTAGATAACTGAGGTAAATGGGCCTTCAGTGTGAGAGTTTATGCTAGTTTGGCCAGAAGTTGGACTGTGTTTAATGCTTGCCATAGTTGTAGGTATCAGAGCCTTTAATTCTTCTAACATCTTTGCTTTTGTCTGTATTGTTACATTTTGTTCCTCTAATAATTTCTCCTTAAATAGAGTATGACTTTAGGGCTTACATTAGGTATTTACCTTGCTGCTGTGACCAAACACCTTCCAAGGAGCTACTTAAGTGGAGAGAGATTTATTTTGGCTCAGAGTTTGAGAAGATGAAGTTCTTCATGGCAGGATAAATATGGTGTCAGGAGCTTGAGGTGGCTGGTTACACCTCAAGATATGGTGACTACAATTAGAAAGCTGAGGAAAGACAGGAAGTAGACCTGACCTAGAAGAACTCAAGGCCTGCCCCCAGTGACCCACTTTCTTCAGCAAGGCTTCACCTCCTTGAGGTTCCGCCACTTCCCCCAACAGTGCCGTCAAACGGAGTCCAAGAATTCTAATACATGGGCTTATGGGTGTTATCACTCATTCAAACCACCACAGAATTCAAACCAGAAATCCTGGGATCTTTTACGACATCTAGAACTTTACTAGAGAGAAACTGGAAATCACGACTTGGACTTGTAAGTCTACTGGCACCTCCTGGACCATCTTCTGCAGTTTTGCCAGACACTTTCTGTCAATGGAAAAGTTGGAGATCTGACAGACTCTGTGTGTGTGTGTGTGTGTGTGTGTGTGTGTGTGTGTGTGTGTGTGTGTGTGTGTGTGTTTGTTTATGGTTGCCAATCTGTAAATACAAAACCTGAGTATATCTTGAGTGATGGTCAACAACCACGTTAAGTCAGGCGTTAACTCAGCTTCTGGTATCTTTGTCCCTGATGTGAACTTTTATTCTAACTGAAAATCACTTTTCTGCTGGGCTAATAAGACCCCAGCCTTCTCAGGAAGGTCCATTCCCCT